GTTTATTGTATATCTTCTTAGCTGTATAAGTCATCTTGATTAGAAGCATTTGATGGGTTTTTATGCTACAGATATATAGAACCGTGGTTTGCATATTTCTTTTTAACGTCTTCATGCAATAATACCCTGATCGTGCTAAACGAAACGAGCCGAGATGAACTTCATAATTTATAACTTGATCAAAAACAGAAAATCAACCGGAGGCAATTTCGCAAAAAGGCTCTGGAACCAGTAACCTGGACGACGAGCGAATATAACGTTAGCACTTCGTTAAACCTTGTTCATCATCCTTTGCAACGTGTGAGCATTAAAATTGAGTAATCCGATCTTGATTTCAGTATTGAATGATGGGACATACAATAGGATATTGAAACCGTCCTTGAGTTGATTTTCCGAACGTCTTTGTGACGTTTCTAATTAAGAATATGAGCTACCCTAACAAAAGATTAGAAATAAATTAATAAATAAATAAATAAATAAATATATAAATAAATATTCTGAACCATTTACCGCCTTAGTACGCAAATGCAAATGCTATTAGTATGATTGTGGATAACAAAAAAGGAATCCATCCTCATCAGAAACAAATGATGCTATTATCGGCTCATAGATTATTGATAGGCATACAATCGTGCAGAACGATGAATAGGAATCAAATAATTAACTCCTCTCAGTTTCATTTCGTTGGAGTAGTTGAGAAGAAGACAACTTAGCTTTCAAAACCCAATGTCAATGTAGTTCTGTGAACATACGTAACAAATTGATGAAACACAATAATTATCACGCGACTCATTTTAAAAATATAATTTTCCCCTATATTTTCGATTGTTTGGTTACTCAACATTATTATTGTCTGTTTATCTGCTACCATTACCCTAAAGCAGTAATTTGACGATCTTGACCACTACTTTCTCTTAGTTTATTTTGGTATTGTATCGATTGAAATGTATTATTTTTTCATCTTTATTACCATCTTGTACATGTCATACCTGTCTGTTTGGCTCACTATTGTATATTTACTGTATTTGTAACTTTATTGCATTACTTGTAAACATGATCAGTTTTGGTCCTTGGACCTTTGAATCATGTATATTTATGTGTCTTTTTAAACCGAAACAAATGTTTAAAAATATATATATATTTATCACGCACTGCATCATCTTTCACAATAACAACATTTGACAACGCATGTACAAAACGTATTTTAGACAAAATATCATTACACATCAGCATAGCATGAACAATAAGATAATCGTGTATTTAGATGTGGTGATACAGACAGGCTACATCTGAAGCATAGCTTCATATTCTTGCAGCCCAGAAACATTGAGTTCATAATACACTATTGAAAGGGTTTAAAGGTAGTCTGTCCCCTTTTCAGGCTGAAAATATAAAAATGATGTCAATCCTATGGTAAACAAGAGATGATACCAACTAAAAATCCTCTTAAAAAGTCAGTCAGTCACTCAATATTGTCTGACAGTGAAGTCTAGAGAGTAGACGGTTTCCTGAGCCAATGCTTACATTTCACAGATAGTACATACGTGACATACTCATGATTCCTGCAAAGTTCTACTGACTTTGATGTTGGCTGCAAAAGGGATACACTACCTTTAATTACAAGGAACAAAGAGAGAGACAGAGACAGAGATAGAGAGAGACAGAAAGAGAAACAGAGAGACAGAGAGCGAGAGAGAGAGAGAGAGAGAGAGAGATAGACAGAGAAGGGAGGGGGTACTGGGGTAGTGGCGGATCCAGGGTGGGGGGGGGGGGGCGATGGGCCCGAGCCCGGGCCCCTTGAGAAAAAGTTCATGTAAAAACATGTGATTTTTACCTTTTTTTTTTGGGGGGGGGGTGCAAATTTTAAAATTTTCGAGGACCAAAAAAAAAATGTGCTCAGTTGGTCCCCCTCCCCTAAGAAATCCTGGATCCGCGCCTGGAGGGGGGTAATAACACAAAGGAATGGGTTGGTTATTCCCAGCTATCAATGAAACTGCTAACATATTATAAAACCTTAAAACCTGTTCAATGCAATATATGTATTTTTCATTAGAATCTAATTAAATATTTGATTTTCAATCTTATAATTGAGTATTATGATGGTAGTGAAATACATGGACAAGTGCGCTCATGGTTGCTGTTGTTGTTTTGGTTTATAGTCGTTTATCACTCAGGAGTGAATGTTTAGGTCTGGATACACCACTAGTCTTCTGGATTTGTTTTGATTTTGTTTCATTTTTTTTTTTTTTTTTTTTTTTGGATGGACCGGGGGGGGGGGGGGGGGGTAACGAACATATGTCGCACTTTAGCTGACGACTAATTGGCGATTGCGTTATATTTACCAACGGAAATCAAATCAAAACGCCTTCAGAATGTATTGTGCAAGTGGATCAATTACTGATGCGTACGCCCGGAGGATTAGCATGATTGATGTGTGTTATCCTCGCAGTCCTGTCGTTTGAAGGATAAAAACATTTCCCTTAAAGGCACACTGTCCTACTTGTAGCTACTTGCTCCCTCTATATAGAAAACTTCCCCTATCGTTGCCTGTTGGTCCCCCATGATCCTCTTTTTCTTATGTTAAATGAGAGCTGAGTTGATGAGATAACCACCTGTCCAGTGACCTTGCAGGGCAGTGTAATCCCTCCTGTAAACTACGGCAGATAAGCTTTAATCAACTGCGCAAACATTTTAGTTTAAAGATACTATGTCCCTTTTGCAGCCAACATCAAATTCTGTAGAACTTTGCAGGAATTATGAATATGTCATGTATGTCCTATCTGTGAAATTAAACATTAGCAGTGTCTTAGTATTGAAATTATGGAAGGAAACCCGTTTACCTTGTAAACTTCACCGTCGGACACTATTGAGTGACTGACTGACATCTTTTTTCTTTGATAATAACGTAAAAATGAGCTGTAACAGGTAGGCCTACTTGTACATGAGCATTTGCCTACATCAATAACCCACTACTTGTAGTGGCCAAAATTAAATTTGATTGAATCTTTGTGCTGCACAAAACGTACGACCATTCGGGAAAAGCGTCTGAAACTATTACTGTAGTGATTGCAATCACTTAAGTCGATTCTACAACTGATGGTCGTTATTTTCCCACTAAAAGCCATTTTCAAGCCCTTTCGTTTTGAGGGAAGTTCTAAATTAGTATTGTCTTTCAAATGCCGTAGGAATTTAACCTTTTCATTTTGTTTGGCCTGCAAATGGGACACAGCACCTTTAAAGGATGCCAAAGGATAATTCATCTGTATGTTGATAATATGGTTTAAAAAACAACAACACAATACTGTCGGGTATGGTAGTGTAACCCGTATACTGTATTTCGTGTTTGGAAATGTATCAGAACGGTTAGAGCATTATTTTTCAGATGGTGGTTTCAATGTGTAGATAATTAATCTGAATAATTTAGGAGAGCGACGTCGAGTGATGGGTCAATTATGTGATGGCAAATTGCAATAGTAAACATGTCATGAGTTTGGTGATGGCGGCAATAAATCGTAAAACCAGTATAATCAAACGAGACTTCAGGTGAATGTTTAGAGCTACATTATTTCACGATGTCTCTCTAACGGTTTTAGTAGAACAAAGTACATGCGAAATGATCAACGAAAGTTAGTAAATGAAGCCGAAGTCAGTACAACCACACGCAGTTATATTTTAGATGCAAAGAAGAAGAGAAAAAATCGAGAGTGCTTTATTGTAAACATGATTTCTAGAAAGTCATCATTTAATTTTAGTCTAATTACATTTTCGTTGGTCTAAACAGCGTATCTTGTACTCGAGCAATTCAGAATTATTTCAGCCTTTTTATAAAGAAATGGAACGCCACTCTCAGAGCTTAAATTATAAGCTTCAATATTGCCTGAACAAACACACTTTGTAGCATCTTTTTATACACTTTAAAATTTGTAATTGGAAATAAGTGCTCTGCACATGAAAAACATGTCGACAACAAGGAAAATCTTCATCACGGACGTTAAAGGGAAATCCAACCCAAATAGACAACTACTCTAAAAGAAGGCAGAATCATAAGAGAAGCCAATTGACGAAAGTTTCAATTAAATATAAGAAAGTTATGAAATTCCAAAGCTGTAATTCACTATACGTATGGGCACTATTGACTGCAGCTGTAATGTAAATGTGATGTAGTGCTGGACTACTTTTCCATCTTTTCCAACATATGAAACGATTTTTTTTTTAATTCTTCAAAAATTCATTGCTAAGGAGGGTCTGTTATTTTTAGAGGACCTATAATACTAATATGCTATCTATAATATATTTTGAGTAGTGCCCCAAGAGAGAAGGAACTTACGAGAAAAACAGAAATTAATGATATTTTTGTACACGGCAAATGGGAGAGTTATCCACGTCCTACGGGACAATCCACTGACCGAACAACCAACTTGAGATTCGCATAGACTTAGTGATCTCATATTTGAAACATTCATAACTTCCTTACTATTGGTTCGATTAATTCAAACTTTTGCCATTCTGTTTCTGTTATTTTTCTACTTTCATACAAATCAACTTATTACAAGGGTTGGATTGCCCTATAATAGATTTGATAAATTTAGGTCCACCAATTCAAAGTGTATTTCGCTATGAAACGAAGCTGTAATGTCAATGTCTGCCAATAACCATCAAGTCAATAAATAAACGAATATTTGCATTTTTTGGCAGTTAACATTTTCAACCTTGATTATGACTTAAAGAAAAGCTCAAATTAGTTGCTATGGGTTTTTAAAATGTTATATAATTTTATCGGCTACTAAATTAATGTTTAGGGAGAATCATAATATCATAGGGAAATGGCATAGGCAGTATTTTTTGTGAAGGATATTCGAAACGTTAACGCTAATTCAGGTAATACACTTTGGGGTTTCAGGCATACGGAAGATAGTTAATTGAGTCTCTTCACTTCAAACTTCTTATTCAATTTCTTATAATCTGTGCTGTTTGTTTTCCCCTTCTTTTATTCATTACAGACTGCACATGACATATCGGCCGGGAAATTCGTGAGATCTTAGGTAACGTGTGGTTGTTCCATCAACTGTGCTTGGGGAAGATGATAGCTGTCGAAGAACATGGCATTCTGGACTGAAGCGACCAATACTGAGATGTTTTCGACGGTACAAAGTAAGGAATGGACGGATCGGCCGTTTGAACCAGCGATGACCATTAATGCCTCAACTTTTGGGCAGGTGGAGACCGACGAGGATTCGGTCATGTCGAGCAGTATCGCGACAATGGCTTCATCGTGGAACGCTTCTTTGCCGGACAATGTCGAACTGTTTGAGTTCACTTTTGAGAACTGTCTTTTCATCGTCCTTGCATCCTTGATGTCACTAACCACGGTTCTTGCGAATGTGATCCTCATCATTCTTATGAGCGTAGATGCAAAATTACGTCGGTACAGCAACTATTACATCATCAGCCTTGCATGCGCCGACCTTGTTGTCGGGATTTTTGTTATTCCAATGTTCAGTCTCTACACCATCTTAGGAAGATGGCCTCTGGGGTCTATCGTCTGTGAACTCTGGATCATCATCGACTTCTCGTGCGTCTCAGCCTCTGTCTTTAGCATATGCATGATATCCGTAGACCGTTACTGGGCGGTCACGCAGCCTCTAAAGCATCTCAAAAGGCAACGCAGGAAGAGGTCGCTGTTGATCGTTTGTGCCATCTGGATCCTGGCAGGGTTATGCTGGATTCCTGGTGTGTTGGCACACAGATTTATCTTGGGTAGCTTCGCGGTAGATTCCGCTTGTCTGTATCTACCGGGTTTTACCTACACCCTGCTTTCAAATACCATCATTTTCTTTTGTCCGATGGTAGTGATGGTTTGTCTTTACGCCAAGATGCTGTATGCATTGAAGAGACATCTGCGTAGCTTGACTGAAGCAACGATGATGGAATCAGTAGATCCTACGTATGCAAGGACATTCTGCTGTTGCAGGGAAACCATCAATCCTGACTCCACGCTGGCCGTAGATCACACGCAATCGTCAATATCGACCATATCTTTCTCAATAGATTCATCCCCTACATTAGATGTCATCAACACCATAGGCAGACACATGGGAGCAACTCATTCTAACAGCACTAGCTCTGAGACACTGGGGACAAATGCGTTTGAATCGACGAGTCGCTATCCTGGCAACGGAAGCTCTACAAATAATCCTGCGCCACCATCCCGTGTGCTTCAGGAGACACATCTGACGCAAAAACCTTTAAAATTTACAAAAAATGCTTACAGTAACGGTCTGAGAGCTGAGCGGGTCCATCAACGTCATCTTGCGAACAATCGTCTCCATCAAAGAACAGCCCAAACTCTGGGTATCATCGTTGTCTCCTTCGTACTATGCTGGATTTTCTTCGTGATTCTCTTTCCCGTCAATTCATACTGCGATTGCGTCCCGTTGTGGCTCTACGACATGTCCTACTGGCTGGCCTACATGAACTCCACGCTAAATCCTTTCTTGTACGGATTCAACAAAGACTTTAGAAGAGCTTTTCGGAGATTAATTTGCCCTTCTAAGAAGTCTGAAAGTAATTCATTCTCCAATTAAGGTCACTGGACATCTGAAGATATGACTTATATGGATTTTGAAAGAAATTGCAATAAGAGTATGGAATTTCAAAGATGTACATTGTTTATTCTTGATGTCTTACATTACCATGCGACTGGTATGAGGTCTTAATCATTCTTGGTGCAGCTAAATGGATATTTCCTCTTACTTGAAGACTCACAACACCCCAAAATTATGTTTTTACTACTCAAACAAACAATGTGGAACCTTTATCAAGAAGAATTTATCTTTAATGTTTAAATGTTCACACTCTAAAAAGTCCATACGCAGAGAAGTCATAAAGTGTATTGTAGCCTTTATTTGTAACTTTGAGAGCGTACCTGAGTTGTTATATATAATCTTTTTAGGTGGAGGTCGATCTAATTCTATTTCTTTTTAATTTCAAATTAATTTTGGATCTTGACACACTATGAAAATATGATTTTAATTTTGTTTTTTCCGTTTCGTTGGCGATCAGCCATGCACAAAGAAGACGAAAGACCTCATGCTTGGCTGATCGTCAACGAAACGGGGTTAAGTCTTTTGTCAACTCTGTTTGTTGCTACGGCAGGCAACAAGTGAAACCGAATTCATGTAATCAAATTATGGGAATGCAAGCATTACTTTAAACAAACGGAACTTTGTTATGCCTATGCCTAGCTCATTTTTTCTGATTGAGATGTCATATGAAAGGGCAGAAAATGAACTTTATTATAAATGTGATTTTCTCTTTGAAATTCAGATACCGTCCGCCAAATTACTTTTTGGTATCCTCTCTTTAAATTGTTTTGAATCACTCATGCGTGAAATGTGCATCATATGAAAGAGGAGGATCTAAGCTTTACACATGTGTCATTTCTTAATTATAATTGTGATTAAGTATTGATAAAACATCGATAATTCTTATTTGGGACGTACTGTATATATAAAATATTATATAAAGTATAAATAAAATGGATGTAAGTGACTAATAAGTGACCATTTAGATATTGAATATTATGATAACTATAAAAAAAAAATCACAATAATATACAAGGTAATTTTCCATTTACCATACAGTATGATAACATTCCATTTACCCTAGAGTATGATAACATTCCATTTATCATTAATTAAATGTCTACAAAATGCTCAGTCCACCTCATATTATCAATGAAGAAAAAACATCTTCAGTTTACACATCTTCACTTAAAATAAAGAAATAGAGTATGACATATCTCCTGATTAGTGAATCCAAAATTTCGGTTAGTCGAAATGTTACAACTCGGTGATAATCAAGCTTTAAATTTGAAATCTCGAGTTTGTGGTAGACGATGTTAAAACCAGAGTTGGTAGAATACTATAGTTTAACAGCTGCTGGGCACCATTTTGTTGCTATAGCTCAAAACATTCGATAACAAATAACTCGGAAGTTGCGGGCTATATAATTCGATTTCAAGAATATAGTTTGTCATGTTTTGCAGCAATCCTTTCCATAACATAATACCTAATAAAATAAATAAATTATTTTTTAAACAAAATGAATTCAAACTGAAAGTATATTTAGATACACTCCCCTTACTTACATATTTAACTATAGATACATACTGATCATCGATCTAGTAATAATTGATTTATTCATAACATTTGAGATTCCTTCAATTCAGTATATTACCGAACATGTTTGTTTAGAAAAAAAAACACACACAGATAATAAATCAAATGAATCAAGTTTTCTTTTAAAGTGCAGCGGCTTTGACCTATGGCATTGACAACTCGAGATATTAATGCTGAACTGTTATTCAGATCATGTCTATCCTAATCTACAAATGAAATACAATCGCAAGTACTGATTATGCATTTTTAACATGTTTTCTGTGTTCATTTTATTTTTTCAAATAAAATGTACATTTATTATTTTAGTGCATTACTGTATTGTTAACAGCCCAGGGTAAATAAAGGTCCATGAAAAATAAACTTACAAACAATAAGCCGTATTCAGTGGCGGATCCAGGGGGCCGAAACGGCCGCGACCCCCCCCCCCCCCCCGCCCTATTGGCGGGGCAAAAAAAAGGAAGAAAAGAAGAGAAAAAAGAAAGGAGGATAAAAACGAAAGAAGAGAAAAGAAGAGAGAGAGAGAGAGAGAGAAAGACAGAAAAAGAAGAGAGAAGCCGGGTTACAAAGGGAGAAAGTTACAAGGAAATGGCACTAAGTGACAGTAAAGATGAATAACGGAAAACTCGGGGGGGGGGGGGTATGCGCGCGTATGAAATGCCGACTGTATTATAATTTTTAGGTTGTGCATGCATAACCGAGTCTGAATTCAGCTTATTAAAAAATATACTAAGCATGTTTGTTCATGTTAAACACTTCTGAAAGGCCGCGGTCGGCCGGCCCCTCCAAAGGGTGGCAGAATGGTTATCAGGACATTTGGGGTCATTCCAAAAGGCTTGGGGCCGTATTGGCGAGCGAGCTGCCCGAATAGTTTTTTTTTTAAATATCTGATCTCGTATGTTTTGGTGATAAATAACACTTTTACAACATACATATGCTCAAATTTTCGGTTGCTCGCTCGCCAAATTGTGAAACCAGCAATTTCATATTTGGGCAAGAGGCTTCAGCCCCCCCCCCCCCGATGAAAATGATAAGAATTTAATTAAAACGGGTAATTTTGTTATCGAACAAATGACGCGACGTGAGCCTGCCCCCTTTCCAAAATTGTGCCCACTTGTAGGTTCCTACCGGTAAATACGGTGCTTCTGATATGACCTAGTCAGTATTAATAATAATAATAATAATACATATATCTTGTTTACCCAGGGTAGCCTCATCAGTATAGGCCCTGCATTGGGATGTTGACTTGAAATGGCGGTCTGCGCGATTTTCAAATCCCCCCCCTCCCCCCCCCCCCCCCCCCCCCCCATTGGAAAATCCTGGATCCGCGCCTGGTATTCATAAAAATAAGTAAGTACTAACTAGAGAAGCTTCACGTAAATGCATAAGCTACACAAGTAAAATGTGTAGCTTAAACAATCGCTAACAATCACATTCATAACCTTTCACTTTAAATATGATAACACTTATTACTCGCAGCGGCTTGCAAGTTCTAAAGAACTTACAGCAGCAGCTCCAAAAAAAGCGTTTTTTTGGTGAAAATCTCAGCAACACAAAGTATACTTCAGAATTATATATAAATGTCACATTCAGTTACTAATGTTACTCATATTAATTGTAGGCTAAATGGGAATATAAGATTTAGAAATATTGACTTCAAAGATTTGTGAATATAATGATGAAACGACCTCATTTATATCTCCATTATTGAATTTAAAAAATGTTGGATATAAATAATATGTTGGTTGTTGTTCTAAACAGATGCAAACTAAAAGAGACATGCCATAAATTGAGTAGAAAAGGTAATGCGTTTCACCAGACAAAGTGCATTTTAAGCCTTGAAGGTAAGCTACTTGCTTCATAAAAGTAACATATTTTCATCAATGCACAGAATTTTGACTTCAAAATTAAAAATCAACTACATCTTTATATAAATTATAAATAGATTTGTTTGTAAAACCAATAGGTACTGCTGCAATATCAATTTTTTTAAATAGCTTTTTGTTCTCATTTTACTGAAAATCTATCATATTTAACTAGTATATTTTTATAAATCAGTCGTTATATAAACTGCATCCTGATAAGAGATCGGTAGTGACGCCACCAAGGCGTCTCTGGATGCACGAATGTGTTGACCGCGCCATATGGGTCGCGCGAGGAGACAAGACGCGATAAATAACGCGGGTTCACAAAGACAGAGACCGTTTACTTCACTACCAACCTCTTCTCAGGAAGTAGTTTTATTACGACTGAATCATATAAATATACTAGTTACATAATGATTGATTTTCAGTAAAATGAGAACGAAAAGTAGATAATACCAAATTACACAAATGGCATTCTTAGCTTCTCAGACCGTCTGGTCCTGCAGGTGGAGTCCTAACTTATTATACGCTATACTTAAATTCCAACAAGTAAGACTTGCCCTCGCATGATAAAAAACATGATAAAGTTGTTTACCACGAGCAACGGGACACAGGGTTTGGTCTTGCACAGTGCAATATTTGAGCTTCATGATAAAGGAGGTCAAAAACATGGGGGACATTTGATTTTTTTTGGGGGGTGGGACATGTCCCCTGTCCAACCAATGACGCCCATGCATGAGAGGAAGCTTAACTGTCAAATGCACCAAACCTTGGAGTGCTTTTTATTCCATTGTTTGGAACGATTTACCTGAACCTATGAGGAAATCTGTATCTCTGTTAAGCTTCACTTGGAAGCTTAAAAAATGTATCATTTTAAACTACAATTCATAATTATTATCCCTATACCCAGTTAGGCTGACGAGTGTGTATTTATATTGTATAAGGGATGTATAAGTATATATATATATATATATATATATATATGTGTGTGTGTTGTATGCATGTGTATAATTATGTAAATAATTATGTAAACATACATGTATGTATGTATAGGCCTATGTTGTATAAATGCATGTACTTGTAACGAAGTAAATATATATATATATGTATTATATATGTATTAGACTGCATATATTATATGCAGTCTAATATTTCAACACTACACTCTTCACCTCTTTCTTGCCATTATGTTGTTTATGCATGTCATACACTCCATTGATACTATGTTGCAGTCCTCTTCTTTTCCTCTCTTCTTTTCTCCTTCTCCAAGCTCTCTATCCTCCTCTCCTCTTTGCCCATCCATTTCTTCCTTTCTTCCTTTCTCCCATTTATAATGTATAAATCTATTTATGTATTCGGGCGTACCCACTACAAGCTATGCTTTTCGGGTTTCGCGCCTTCTTCCTTGTAATACAAGTTCTTTAATTATAATTATGTTCCTACTTATAAATTGTATTGTTTGGAAGAAAATAAATGTTCATTTGAATTGAATTGAATTGAATATATGGTGTGATGTGCTTTGAATTGATACTCGAAAACTATATTTTTATTGGCCCTTTGGAATAATTTGTTTAGCCTAGGCCTAATCCTCTCATTCGTGACAGTTGACTGCATTGTGTGGTTGGCCGTGTTTGCAGGATCTACAATTAGTAGTGCAATGCTGTATATTAAATAGTATCTGTAGTCGCTCTTAAAGGTCCCATTTGCAGGCCAAAATAATGAAAAAGTCAAATTCCAACTGCATTTGAAAGATAATACTAATTTAGAACTTCCCTTAAAAAAAATGGGGGGGGGGGGGCTTGAAAATGTCTTCAAGTGGGAAAATAACGACTATTAGTTGTCAAATCGACTTTAGGGCTATAGAGCCCAAAAGTAATATTCTTGATTTTCAGACAATTGTACTGAATGGTCATACGTTTTATGCTGCGCAAGGATTCAATCAGTTTAATCTTGGCCATCACAAGAAGTCGGTTATTGAAGTAGACAAATGCTCATGTACCCTTTACAACTCTTTTCATGTATGTTATTACCAAAGAAGAAAAAAAAACAGTCAGTCACTCAATAGTGTCTGACAGTGAAGTCTAGCAAGTAAACGGGTTTCCTTGCATAATTTGAATATGAGGACACTGCTGATGTTTAAATTTCACAGATAGGACATACATGACATATTTATAATTCCTGCAAAGTTCTACAGCATTTGAGGTTGACTGCAAAAGGGACATAGTACCTTTAAACACTCCCCATGTCTTTTATCTTTCACATGGCTAGTTCATTGATTCATTATACAAAACAACAAATTTAGGCCGATTTTCAAGGCAGGGGGAGGGGAAGAGGAAAGACATTGGAAAATATGTTTTCATGTATTTTATACTAATAAATTTGAAATTTTAGAAGATTCCTTGGAATTTTTTTTTTTTAACGATTTCCTTGTACTTTATGAATATTGCTTTGCATAAATTTTGTTTTGGGAGAGAGAGAGAGAGAGAGAGAAGGGGGAGGAGGGGAGAGGGGGGGCAGTGAAGGGGGTACGCTGCATTCTGAACTCCACTATACATTATCTTCATGATTCACACCGATAATCAAGATTATATACCTCACTTAAGTAATCCAGCAATCTGATTGGTCGAAATTGTATTCATAAACTTTAACTGTTCCCGAAAATTCCCGGTAACCATGGTTAAAAAACAGTTCAAAATCCCAATAACCATGGTTATTGGGAAAATAGGTCAGTCTCCATGGTTACCCCATAGGTTTACATGTTAAAAAATGGTCTGAGCGATCGAGGATACCGTACGTGTGCGAAGAATTGGTCGGTAATTTCAATACAATTGAATCTCGATCGATCTTACCGACAATTTTATCTTGCATTGTTGACATGAAGACGAAAATAAACTTCCAAAAACAAAAAAATAACATCTGCCGATAGATCTTGATCTAAGTTCGTGCCAATATGCATTGCAAAAGTAAAAGAAGGGCCCGTTTAATGGAGCAGCGGCGAAGCATCGACCACGCGAAGCCGTTTTCAATTCATTTTAATGTATATATTAAAGAAAACTACTGTTCTTGGTGACTGAGCGCGCTGGCCGAGCGGTGTAAGGCGCTGGTTGTAGTTACATCACAAAGGTTCAAAACCCATCTTCGACAAAAGTTTTTTTTTCTTTTTTTCTTTTTTTTCGGCATATAAAAGTATTAATGACTGCTTTAATATTCGAGAAATAGTTGTTTTTATACGCTATCGAGAAGGTTACAATTGGGCTATTCCCCTCGGCACGCCTCGGGTAATAGCACAATTCTAACCTTCCCAAGAGCGTATAAAAACAACTATTTCTCTCAAAGCAGTCATTAATACTATACTATCACCGGATCAAAACCTTATTTGATGTATTTTGACCGATAGCCTAAATAATTTGGTTTCTGAGAAAACAAGATATTGATTATCAGGCGTATTATTACTATAGCAGCGGGAAATCAATTCAGGCATTGTCCATGGTTCAATGCACTCAAATCGGTCATGTTCGCAAACGAGCTGCTGAATAAATCTTCACTGAAAAACTCATTTACGTATGCGATGCAGTCTGACTAGGATTGTTTTATTAACAGAGTGAATTGAAGATTGTTCCCGTCTGTCGAGTAAGTATTGCCACAAACGAATTAATTGTCATACTTTCTCATGTGCGTACAATAATATATCAATTCATAAAGAGCCGCTACTTAATAAATAAACTTTGCTGCGCTTACTATAAAGTATCATATTAATATTACCCCGTGCAGGTGTCGATATATGTAGCCTTCATGATAAGGCGCTAAAGCATTAAAGGTGATTCGATGAATGATGATATGGGTTATACATTTTGCCATATCCTTGAGGAAAGATAGTGCCACGATTTTTCCATATTGTGAATATCTTAAACATAAACGATGGACTTTGAATTATGGAACAAATGATAAACATATTGTGAGGCATATATCTATGCCAAGCAAATTAATTATTTGGGATTTCATACGGCCCCCGAGGAACGGTGGGGCTCAGGGCTCGAGCGCCCCCTCCCCCTCCCACTTTTTCGAAAAAGTATGTTAAAGAGAAAAAGAAAGAAATAAAGAAAGGCGCTATATCTTGAATGGTTAAATGGGAAAAATCGTACGTAAAAGCGATCGTAAAAGCCTAATTTGTTCAGAAAATAACACACTTTTATCGCAAGAATCTGGCTGAAAACACTCCATTCACTTATACATTATTTTTTTTAATCAATCTGCGCATATATGCAAATAATACCGACCAAAATTAGTCTCATGCACATCGTTAATTAGTGTCACAGATAGCTTGTTACTGTTATATGGACAGATTGGATAGATGTGTAAATTATTGAAATTATAATCAGTATACGATGCAAAAATTATTTTTCTCCAGCTTCCGAAAACCAACCTGGGAACTTTTGTTGCCTCATTACTCACTGCTTTTGCAAAACGAGAGCGTGAGATTTGTTTTTGGTGAGTCCGTTTAATACGCAAAAACCCAACTTTGGTAGCTTATATTTAAAGAGTCATAACCTATATGACATTGAATCATTTTTCATTGTAAAGAAGAACTAATACTCTGTCTAATGATATCATTTTAATAACTGTACTGCCAAGGATGATTGAACAACAGGCTTTTCAAAAGGTAGTGTCAGAATCCTTTTGTACCAACTTGGGGCTGAAGTAATAAATGTCGGTCAAAAACCTTTTTCTAGCAATTAGGTTTAGTAACCTTCGAGTTTTCATGCTCATTGTGCGTGTAGCCACGCGGATAAGCTCCAGTTACTTCTCTACTGTCCTCAGTCTCATTGTACAGCTATACAAATACTTGTATATTACAAATGTTCCAAACAACTTTGGCCCGAATTCACAAAGCAAGGTTTGAGCTCAAACCTTCTTTTGTTTCGCCAAACCTCCTTTTGTTCTTTACAAACCAGGTTTGTAAAAAACGCGTGAAACGCGTCATATGACGTACGAAAACCAAGGTTTGTCGACAAACCTCCTTTGTGAATTCGGGCCTTTGTGTTTGTAATTCAAAAGAAATATTGTACTTTAATGTCTGGGGATCAAAGTCCTAATAGTTGAATGAATTTTTCATTTTCATTTCCATTCCTCTAAACATATTACATCGGATGAGCAATTTACATTAGCTACGTTTTACCTGATCGTAAAGAATTTGGCCCTCCTCCGGGCCCCACTTTGAAATACGTTCCGTGGGGCCTGTATGTGTTACTATGTGCCTGGTACTGTTTCAATAGGGACTTTTAGAATGACTGGACGAGAACACGACGAACACCGACTAATCATGCGTGTCAACGTACTTAACTGCCCATGTTGACTACAATAAGAAATCTTTTAGATTGCACTCAACGATATACATGCATGCATAGTAACACTATGATCATCACGGACAAAGAAAGAGGACAAAGTATACAGTTCCTCATTCTACCCTCAACAAAAGAACATCCCTTCACTGCTATTATGTAAAAATGTGTAGAACAGGTGAATATGCATGTGACACCTGTTCTACAATAGCAGGGAAGGGATGTTCCTTTGTTGAGGGTAGAAAGAGGAACTGTATATTTTATGCGCACGCGGCATACTAGTACCTTGAGCATGTAAAGGCGCTATATAAATACCAATATGTATGTATGTATGAACTAGATTTAGGAAAATCAAGGTTGCTCATTCTCGATCGCCGACTGAGACGACGTAACGCATGCGCAGTGCCTTAAAATGACGTCACACGTTGCAGTCAAAGCTGTAGACGTGCAAATCTAAAAGTCCCTAATTGGAGCTAGTATACGTACGTGGATGTATACAGGCCTTTAGCCATATGGTAATTCCAGACAAGTTTTCCTATTCTTCAATATAATAACCTATAAGTAATACTTTTTCATTAATATCTATTTGCTCATGAAAGTAATTACCAAATAAGTTTTCAATAATTTTCCCCAAAACTCGTTCCTTATTACAATTTAACAAAACATGAAAAGTTGTTTCTATTTCTTTACGTATATCACACGGGTCATTTTTCATTAAACGCCATCTGCGTAGATTATGTTTTGATGGAAAGATATTATGCAATACTTTAAATTTAACATATTTGTTGAAATTTTAGATTGAATACTTTCTGCCAACTAAAAGAAAAAGGTAAATTCAAATAATTCTCCCATTAGCGTGTAAAAATTTGTTTCTGAAGTTTTTTTTTAAGGAGGGAAAAATATTTTTTCACCTTAAAACTAAATATATCAACAAAATCTCCTGGATCAGAGCTACTTCTATCGATTTTGAATTGTTTCGTTTTCGATTACATAATCTATTCAAAGTAAAACGTTTACATTGTTGAAGGTTGATGAAAAAAAAGGATCATTTTTTGTATGGAATATTACTTATTATATTCCTTTTACCTTACTAACCTTTTAACATTTTCAAACCATACAGACATTTAAGTTTTTTCAAGCCGTCACTGTGCAACACCCTCTAACAATAAATTCTCTCAACCACTTTCTGTATTTCCCAACCGTTTTCCATAAAAATGAGACATAAAACAGTTTTTTTTAATCTGCCAACACTTTGATTTTTCGAATGATACATAGAGCCAATCTCATTACTTTGTGGCGATTTACATTCACCTAAAATTTACTTAAATTATAACAATATATATAGTTGGGAGAACTCAGGAATCGATCAGATCTTTTTTTTCTTCCAAATTTGTATCATTAATAATGGTCTGTTTTCACTCAAACTTTCAGATTACCTTTAGCTGTACATCTAGCATTGAAGTCATTACCTTAGCACCATTTTCTCTCATCTGAACGATGTTACAAAGCCCCTTTAATCAATAGCTTGGAAAACATTTCTTCTTTAACTTCAATCGAATCGAATCTTTCCAACTTTTGTTTTAATCACGTGCTTTACTTTACAAATTCCAGCTACAAAACAATAATGAAGAATTTTAAAATCTAATATGAATATTTTTCCATGATATCTTCTTTTTCCGTGACCTCAACTTACCATTCATAAAGAAGATTTTGATGAAACTCTGGCAGTCTATTTTGTTTACACAACATCTTTTTTTAATGAAATTATATCTAAAGATATGTGGAAAATTTCCAATCATTTCATTCAAATATTTACATAATTATTTCCGTCCACAAGTGTGTTTATCGCTTCCTGGTGCCTTGATATTATGCATGGAAGACAATGCTTTTGCACATTGCTTTTCCGTAAGGTCACCTTCACAGCTTATAGTGCCTCATTTTCCTTTAAAGTTGTCAACTGAACATTTCGAACAACATATTCTTCTTTTTCAGTACTACCTTGTTTATACTATACACATCTTTGTAATATTTATACATTTTTAATAAAATATGTTCCTGTTTAATAATTTGTTCTCCTGACTTTTCTATACAATCAATTAACTTTTTTATAACAATTTTCTTTTCAAGCTGCAAGAAAGAACAAATTAATTTTTCCCTTCTTCTTACCATTTTCCCCTGGAGCGGTTGAAAGCTCCTCTACATTTGTCAATTAAAACCTCATCAACCTGATTTCGAACATCTTTTAACTCCAGCATTTTTTCTTCATCGGGATTATTATTTACTTCCTTTTGCAATGAACAGTATTTTTTTCTTCTAAATCTTTATAAATCAATCTTCCTTTTTTACTGACCTCTTTTGAATATTTCATAGAAAATTCTTTATTTTCACTTTATACACTTCCTTTGTAATTTGTACAGAATACGAATCATTTAATTTATCCCTTTCTAATTATATTTGAGATATTTTCTTTATACATTGTATCGTTTAACAATTGGTTGTTTATTTTCCAATAACCTCTCCCACGTTCTTCCTCGGTAGTTTATTTTCCAAAGAAACCGCATTATGGTCATATTGATAGTAGGTCTAATTTATCACATATCATTAAAATATAGATCAGAGATTTTCAGTATGCCACCCCTAAAAATATGAGAATAAATTTTTTATACTTCAATTCATACCCAAAAAAATCTTTTCTATAATGAAATAAAATAAATTCCGTTATGTTTATCCCCAGAATCAATCATTTTGCAATGGAATTTGACTGGCACCAGTTAACGCCTTATCATTTATTGGCAACGGCTTTAGTTGGTCTAATGGCTGCGTGGTTTGTGAAACACCTGATGAGGTTACCTAAGAACCTTCCACCCGGGCCGACGGGACTACCTCTCCTTGGAGTCGTATCCAAATTTTTCGGGTAAATGAACGTGACTGACAACCTTCTGTAAAGTAAGATACTTTAACCTGAATGATAACGAATCGGTGGGTTTAATTTCCTTAATTTCCTGAATTACCATGAATCTATTGGTTTGGAATCGGCTTCTCGGTGTGACTGGGATATGAATAAAAATGTATTTATTAAAGAGAAAATTTGCATACGGGTTCATCTTTCCATTATAAGTTTTCATTTTCATTTTATGTAGAATTCTTTTTGGTGTAAACGCTTTAGACCGCGGCTCTGGGAAAAGCGCAGTATATAAAAAATAATGATGATAATAATAATAATAATAATTGTATTATTTGATCTACATATTCTTTACTACTGGGGGATAAGGCCCAATAGACCAATGCTCCTCTAGACTGACAGCCTAAGGGACCGACAGCCAACTAGAAAAACATTGTTGGTCCGGTGGGAGTTTTCTAGTTACTTAGAGGATTCTGCATATGAAATATCTTACATATCTTCGGCACCTCTCTCTACCCAAATATGAGGCCATTTTGTACCTCGCTGCTTGAATGTAGGCTTATTCAGGCACGTACGTCGCTGCCCGCATTGAAATGAAAGTAAAACATTGTTTTTCCGAGGGAGGGGGGGGGGGGGGCCTTGTTTTTCCCCATCGTTCGCCTGAGTGCAACCGTGTAAAGGCCTATTTAATTAATTATAAACATATTTTTGGGGTAGCACTTCGGACCCTCTTGCCCTGCTCTCGGAGTGGGCCGACATGTACGGTGAAATCACGTCCTTCAACATCGGTACACAGTTGGTGGTGCTCCTGAACGCTTATGAGGTGGTCGCAGAAGCCTTCCGTCACCCCGATCTCCAGGACAGACCAAGGTGTCGCATTAAAGAGGAAGTATCTGGGTGCGGCCGTAATGGTAAGAACAAGACTTTCGATAGTGTTCATCCCACATACCAATAATCTTCAAGGCAACACGATTTGTTTGAATTAGGTCACATGACAAATCAAACATTGGATATCGTGCAGGCTTAGTGCCAGTAAAAGAAAAAAAACATATAGTTGAACTTTTAGCTGCATGATGCGACATAATGATTATTATATACCTCTCTATAGTTATTTTTAGTATGCTATATAAATCTAGTCAATTTTCGGATTGGTCGAAATTCGTGATTTTAGCCATGCCCGCCTATCGGTCAATATTTTTAAAAAGATGCCCGTCGCCCCGAGCTAACGGGCCACATAATAACATTTGCTGAGATCCCCATTGGTTTACGTCTCTCGGGGACGTTAAATCTTGCTATAACCCATCAACGCTCAAAAAGCCATTTTAAGATAATGTACACTTTACCAGAAAGTTTAACTTGTCCACTATGGACAACCGTTCAATTGCTTGATTAATTCCAGTCAATAATAATTTCCCAGATAACAAGTTTATGTCTTCTGCGATTCGGTACAACAGCAGGTCTGCTAATCGGTGTTGGACAATCCTGGAAGGAACAGCGCAAGTTCACCCTCTCAGTCTTCCGTAGCCTCGGGGTGGGCAAGAAGAGCTACGAAGACACCGTCGCTGCAGAGATGACGCAGCTAGGGAGGGCTATCAAGGAGAAGAAAGGATCCCCGTTCGACCCCAACATCCTCCTCGGACAAGCGGTTGCCAACGTCATCTGCACTATCATTTTCGGGACGCAGTACACGTACAGCGATACAGAGTTCCAACAGGTATGTCTAAGACGTCATTACTCTTATTACACTATTTTATAGAAGTGTTTGAAAATGTTCTGTTCCAAATATCAACTTTCATCGTTCTTTCCAACCCAGAAGTAACTCGGTGGATTAGTAGCTTAAGGAGTGGGATTTCTGAATGTGGAATTGATCTCGGGGAGAATGAATTACTTCATAGAATATGGGACAGAGCTTTTGGCACTCCATGGTCGCCAACGTCTCAGGATATGGCACGTAGAGAAGAAGAAGAAGTAACTCTTTTGAGTTTTCGCCCCGACTTTGACGTTGACATTTACAAGGGGTCCACTATATACCGACAGGCCACGAGGCAAACACAACAACGAAAAACATCAGGGAAGATAGTGAAAAATGTCGGTCATCTTTGCTGTTGGTTTCGTGGACCGTCAGTGTAGCGGGTTTCAATCTTGTGGGACTATTAGTATTCTTGATATGCTTGCGCTTAATATTGAATTAACCAATTAGGAACGTTCGTTTTCAATCAAGACTGATTTTCATTCCATATATTTTGTTTTAAGCTTCTTTCCTTGTTGAACTTCAGCATGAGGCGATCGGGAGTAGGAGGATGGTTGTTTTTTATTCCAATACCAGGCATTTCGAAAGTTCCCTTCGGTGTTATCAAGACTATGGCGTCGAATGCTAAGGAATTCTATGCTTTCATCGATGGCCATATTGAAACTCACAAAAAGAATGGAGTGCCCGATGTCCCAAGAGATTTCATCGACCAGTATTTGATTAAGTTGAAAGAAATGAAGGTAAAATATAGAGACGCACTTATAAACGTTCTCTGGACGTTTTCGAATTTCATGAGAACGTTGTGTGTTTGCTGAGTTGATATTACAATTTATGATTGAGTCCAATATACTTCGAGATTACCTCTATATTTATGAAAATATCGAGAAATATTTTAGTTCCAGTTTCTTATGTTATTAAGGTTTTTTAATGGACAATCCCACCCTAAAAACTAAATGGAAAAAGTCAGAGGCGTAGATTGGTAAATATTTGAATGAAATCCGACAAACAAAAGAGAAGGCGCAATATTCCGATCTTCTTTTTAAACAAGCCAGCAAAAAGACAACATTAAAGAAAGAAAGAAAGAGAGAGAGAGAGAGGGGGGCATCACCTATACTGAGGTAGCAGGAGCATCATCTTGGCGCTGTGTAAGGTGAGCCACTTAGGTTGGGGCGGAGGGGGTGGGCACTGGACGGATATGCCGCCCCCATCGAATCCGTCAGTTTCAGAAACCCATAACAAAGGACAATTGAACGCCTTTGATATGGGAACAATAGACAATTTACATGTTTGAGGGAATCCTGTTCAAACTAAAAATGTTTGTCATTTTTGCTCACCATGCAGGGAACTAAATCTTCATTCAGCCACCATAGTCTTAAATCCGTTATCGCTGACCTCTTCTTCGCGGGGATGGAGACAACGACCACCACGCTCAAGTGGTTTATCCTCTACATGATGGCCTACCCCGAAGTCCAGTCACGTGTCCAGGCGGAGCTCGATCACGTGGTCGGAAGAGAGCGGTTACCTGGGTTGAGCGATGGAAAGAATCTCCCTTACACCTGTGCTGTGATTATGGAGGTCAGTGGCTTGTATATTGGCTTTGACTTTGGAGGGGAAAGAAAAACCGACGAACATTTGCGCTTGTCTGCGTGTGCATGTTGGTGCATGTGGGTGTGCGTGTGTCTGTGCTTGCGCGTGCGTGTGTGTGTGTGCGTGTGTGTGTTTGTCGAGAAAAAAAAATCGAGATCGAAGGACGAAAGTCCAAGAGAAGGAAGTTTGCAGTAGGTGTTCTTGCCTCTGGGGCATTGGCAGACTGTATTAAAGTCAAACGCGTATGTAATTGTACCAAATGTTTTCAGATTATAAAATTCGCAAAAGGATTTAATGACAAATATTCAGATCTAAATTGCCGATATGAATTGCCATTGACAGATGCATGCAGAGCCAAACTCTCTAAAAATACCTCCGATTTTCTCACGTGAAATTTTGGATTAACTGTTCTTTACACCAATGAAGAATTATCTATTGGTGTCTTATGTCCGTAAAAGGTCCAGCGCAAGGGGGCTGTGGTTGCAATGGGGGTGCCCCACTTGGCTTCTGTTGACGTCACAATCAGAGGCTACACCATACCAAAGGGCACTATCATTTACCCTAACATCTGGAAGGTGATGAACAGCAAGAACTTCTGGGACGATTCGGATGCCTTTAAACCTGAAAGGTTTCTAAGCGAAGATGGGAAGTTGACCAATCGGCAAGAGCTGATATATTTCAGTACTGGTACGCTCAATATCTTTTATACTTATTGGGCCTTTAGTATTTTGATCGAAAACATGTAAACATAACTACGATATGTATACGGGGCGTTGTAGTTGCTAGATGCTTCATAAGTTTTACATCTTCAATAGGCCTAATGATTACATTTGGCCAGCGAGATGGTAATTATTTCATTTTGTTATCTACCTTAGAATATTTTTATAACATAATTATCACCATTAACAAGTGAAAACATTGATACTCGCTTGCTCGCTAATATTCCAACAAGGAATTCGGGCCCCTAGTAGTTGGCGACGTATTTAATACGCCTCTACGTCTACATGGGAGGAACAACTACATTTTCTTGAATTCTTAACCGATGATCATCATGATAAATTCCTTTTACCACATTGAGAACCCTAGCTCAATGTTTAATGCAATCCCGACTCATTTTTTAAAATTCGATCCTTTTAACCTTTTTTCCAGGACGACGCATTTGTCCTGGAGAGCAACTAGCCCGGATGGAGACGTTTCTAGGCTTCACCAGCCTCCTTCACAGATTCACCTTCAAGAAACCAGACAACTCACCACCATTGTCTTTGGATGCAAACCTGGGAGGCACAAGGAGTAGTTTACCGTACATGACTTGCGCTATTCCGAGGGAATCTACAGAAAATTTGCTTGATTGATTGATTAATTGAAGTCTATTGCTTGTTTTTTTTCTTAAAGCTAAAAATAGGAAAGGCCTGTATGGGTTTTAGGCTCAATCAGTGGTATTTTGCTTTTCAAGATCATCGCTTCTTTCGAGAAAAGTCTTTCGCTCTAGTTCATTTTTCTTCCTACTGATTGCTCCACCCATCCGTTAGATCCGTTCAAGGTCATAGAAGTTACCAAAGTTGGGTATACTTTTTCTATACGCACTGTACAGAGTGAGTCAGAAAAAATGTCCCACTTTTTTAAAAGTTGTATTGTTTGAAGTATGAATATTTAATCATGGGTTTCATGATGTCTTGATAGAGTTATCCTCTCAGTACATTTAGGTACCATTTTCATTTGAATATCTGAATGCATGACTGAACATCAGATAATCTTTACAAGACTACCAGACTCATCTCTTGAATGGCTACTTGCACCGTTTTTCTTTTCTTTATCAGATCTTCCGACAGTTAAATGAAAGTTCAATTCTCGATATTTACTGATGTTGTCATTAAACAGTATTAACTTCTCTTTAATGTGATACATAATTCATTGAAGGTTTGTATCAAAAAAATAAAAAATAAAGAGTGTCCCTTTTATTCTTTGTTGGTATAGTATTGTAATGCGTTGTTGTACACATTCTTTTTTCTTTTTAAAAATAAATTTGTACAATTCATCTTAACAGCTGTAGAAAGATTATGAATAAATATACCATTCAATTCAATATTTTCACTCCCGTTTTCAAATCTATTATAAGCAAGTGGAAAGTTTATTGTTGAGCCTGAGATGTCAGCCCCCCCCCCCCCAACAGCAAATTAAGCTTGTACACATTTATGTCCACACTCCCATACTCAAACCGATTTTCTTTTGAGAAAAAAAAAAGTTTGATATTTATTCTATTCTTTTAAGGTACATTATATTTTAAAATTCAAATTCAAAAAAATTCAGCATGCTGTAAAATTCTACCCTGAGGCGTACAAAAAAAAGAATTCACGAATACAAAAAATAAATTAAGGCATTCAAAACTGAAAAATATTAGCCCAAAGAGGAAGAAAAAAGAAAAAAAGGAAAAAAAAAAAAATATTTCCAACCTAAAGGGAAATACAACATCTTTTCTTTCTTTTTTAGGCCTGATTGAAAGCTTGAGTTTTTAAAAGATCACATGTAAATTCTCTCTTTTCAAAAGCTTTTCCATGTACATAAGCAATATTCGAAATCACTCATCAAATACATCAATTATACATGTCTACTAATTTGTGACAAAAACAACAAAATAGAACAAGAAAAGCAATTTGATTACATCCCCTTACAAGCATATTATATTTATTCAATGTTCCTTTCAATACAATAATTAGAAGACAAAATTGCCTTTCACACACACCATTTAAAATGCATTTTGAGCTCTTTGTACATGTACCACTACCACTCGAACTAAAACAAATCCCACAATACATTTTTGAGGAATAAAATTGAAGGCAGTTGCACATCAATCATATCATTTGATCTATAATACTGTGTACAATATTCAGCTTTCTTTATCTTGCATATAACACTTTCTGAGGAAACAGTCGATATCTTTTGCACAATTTTTTGTCTTCACACATAAGGGAAGCTTTTTCCTGAGTGGTTCAAGAGGCAGTGGCATGAATAGTTTGAGTCAATTCATAGAAAAACTAATAATATATATCTTAAGAACCAATGGTTTCTGGTTAAAATCCAAAGAGGTGATATGATTATGATTACGATTCATCATATGATATGAAAAACGTCAATATACGATGATAGAGTATTGAATTTGTAGGGTGTATTAACTTTTTTGATGTAGTTCTAGCAATTATCTCATTTTGCTTCTTAATTGCCTTTTACACATTTTCTGTAAGAATTGCTTGGCACATAAAGTTAGTAAAATCCATTTATCTATAGTTCAAAATAACTCGTGACAAGAAGATCATTGGTTTATCTTAGGAGGCAAACAGGTTAGTCAATCATACAAATTCTATATGTTATGTAATATTTTATGTTAAATGTGGAAATTAAGTACTTTGACGTGGATGATTGTCCAAAGTAGATTACATTACATAGTATATTTCATACCCGATAGTACATTACATGACGGCCAGAAAATAAGGTCAGGTTTATATCTTGTTTACTATGACATGTGACGATAATGCATATAATATTGTCATGTACATGTATAAGATTTATGATAATAGTCAGGATGTAGGGCTATATAGGGTTGTTTGGTGCAGATTCTTATAAAAGCACCAAATTTGGCCCAGAGGTAGCTTATAGTATACTATTACGATTTGCTTGGTGGGCTTTAAATGTATACATTAAGTATTTGTTGGAGCCTCTGACGCGGCCACTCGGTTGGGGATTAGTGCAAGAGGCAGATAGAGCGCTCAATGTATAGCCTTTACCACATGTCTTGTTCATCTATTTCTGAACCCAGCTATAAGCTCCTACTGATGCCGACGTATGTTTCTCGATAATTGTAGTGCATTGGAAAGAGAGAGACTGATATCGAAAGCAGTGAAGGATTGTAAGAAAATTCAAAAGAAATATCAGGATAAAGTCAAGTCAATTAAAGTGAAAAGGCACCAAGAAGTAGATGAGAGGAAGAAGGTACAGGAGGAGAAGGAGAGGAAATTAGTCTCTACAACCATCACGAACACTGACCATGCAATGAAACTTTGTGGGGGTATCTGCAAAACAGCAGATGATGTTGATGCATTGGTGCTGAGAAAATGCAACTCTGGGGATGAAGCAGTAAGAGAAGCACTTCTTTCCCAGATAAAGTACTATAAATGTGTCAATCGTGGGTTAGTGAAAGGGTCCTTGTTCTTTGTCTCAACTGGAGGGCAAGCATTTTCTGTTCCTGAACTTCAGAGTAGATTGAAGGAAATTATTTCAAAAATTGATAAGCCTGTTGCTGATGATCCTGAAGTCGTTGATAATGTAGTTGACAAGCAACAGGGACGTGAAGAGTTAAAACAGAAATTGCTTTCAAAGCTTCGTGGCAATACGCTTAAAAGAAAATGCCCTTTCCCAGATGAAATTGTAAACAAGCGCATACGCCACATTTGTTTAGATCCAAGTGGGGATAACTTGGCAACTAACAAGGGAAGAGTGGTACGAGAAAGTTCTAAAGGGGATATTGAAGAACTAATGGAAGAAATGTACAGGCCATTTGTGAGTAAAGGATACATATTTTACACAGTTACAGTATATATGATCCACCTTATGACCTATTATTTTGCTATCCACTTAAAAAGGAGTGGGATGATGGTTTGCTTTCAATCATGTGAAATGTAAATGTATGTTAGTGTACACTGGTAGCAAACAATGAATAAAGTGTCTGAAATTGGAATTAAATTGATTTAATTTTCAAATTGAGCATATTTTTGTTGTGCTGAATTTGACATGGCAAACAAGTTTTTGGTAGCTTCATGTCAGGTCTATAAAATCACATTACACCAACTGATACCAAAGTATTACAACCCCCTTCATCATCCACTGCACATGATGAAGAAGGACAAGTTCAGCTTTCCAGTCAAGTTTCGAAAAGATGTCCTCTCTTTCATCAATGTGGTAGAACAGTTGGGCAATTCTTTCCTTGCAAAAGGTCTTGACCTTAAAGCACTTGACATACAGAATGTAATGGAACAGGAGGTTGCTGCCTCTCTGTCCCAAACTTGCCAAAGTCTCTCCATACTGCACATGGCAATGGACGGTTATTAAAGGCATCGATCTCAATAACTAATACTGTCCCACGGAATAACAAAAAAAAAGGGGGAGGAAAGACATTGGCACACGGATGCAAAACATTGCTTTAGTGACACAACTGTTCTTGTGACTACAGTCACGACCGGACACACAAGCCTATTAAATTACAAGCCTATGCCTATGTTTATGGAACCCAAGCCACGAACGAAGATAGTTCAGTTAGTTCAGACGCAAGTAAGAAGTCTAAGACATGTGGATTCTGTGGACCGCAAACACAGCATACTATTGACGAATGTAGGAAGTTCAAGTCATAAGTAGTCAAGGAGAGATCAGATAGTTGTAAGGAGAAAGGGCTTTGCTTTCATTGCCTGAAGCGAGGTCACATCAAGATGAAGTGTCAATCCAAGGTAAATTACACAACGTGTGGGAAACAGGAAAATAGGAATTGACTGCATCACTAAAGGACATTCTACAGGAACCAGAGTCCACTCTAGCCCCTTTTTCCGTTACTACTCGACCAAAAGAACCATCAGCTCCGACTCCACTCCCGACGCCATGTGGATGCAGCTCTCAAGAAGAGATTTCAAGATATCCGGACACATTGGTGAGCCAGGCCAGAAAGATATATAGGCTCACATTCTCAATCCTCGCCCATCAGATTAAGAGTGGAAGTTAGAGAGGTCATACATTTGACACTATAGTAGAGTAAATTTGTTACACTCTCTTGCTAGAGTTGATTTACTCTGATTGTACATGATATTATATTTTAGTATGTTTTTTTGTTTTTTGTTCTGTTCTTATGTTCTTGTTTCTTTTTTTCCTGTATGTGTGTGTTTTAGGGGTAGGCTTTCATGTAAAGAATCCCTCCTTTCTGCCTACCGGTATCCCACATGCTCTAATAAATTACCATTGTTATTTGTTATCACTATCTTGTTTTTTTATCATTCCATGCTGTATTTGTATGTTTTAAATGTTTTAATGAAGAGTGTTGAATAAACTTTGAATTGAATTGAATACAAATCGTGATATTGTTGAAGCAGTCATTCGAGCCGTAGTTCCAGGGTCCCCTCTGTGAAGCTATCTAGAGGGCAGAATGGGGCTAACTCTTCCAAGCCTCAGACGGATACTCCAGTCCCACTACCAGGAGAAAAGTGCGACCAAACTATATCAGAATCTCTCAATTAGTCTGGCGCAAGTTCCTCATTAGAGCACTGGACTTGAGACAGAAAGTGACATCTGTGAGCAAGGAGGCTGGGCCGGGTCTTCAATATGACCCCATCCTGGTACAAAGCATGTTTCTGGATGCCGTCTTGACAGGCCTCAGGAGTTCACCAGTAAGGTGCGAGCTGAGGCTTTACCTCGAGAATCCACCCACAACAGACGAGGAACTGTTTGAGAGGCTAATATGGCTGCAATCTTTTCAAGTTAATTTGACCTTTATTAATGACATGTCATTTTGTTTTCTCAATTTGATAGTTGTATTTTTTTCCTATGTTTTTATGTTACCTATATTTAATTTTTTGTTTTCCTTTTTGTTATTTATATCAATTTGAGTTGAATTATTGCATATGCCATGTACACCCTGTATATTTTTAACTTTGTATGTATGTTTTGAATTCATGTTTTTCTTTAAATGTTTTTATGTGAATGCAGGGCTCTCTGGGAGAGCAGGTCCAGAAATGGACTTGAAATGAGACCCCGTGTTGAATTAAAAAATATAATAATAATTGTACATGAGGCTGAAAGGCAAGAGAAACTCAGGAGGTCTGCTCTGTCGAAGAATACCTCCATCAATAATATTCATGATGGAAAGGAGATGGTGGATGAAACTCGCGAGGAAAAGAGAAAACCCAAGGACGGCACCCTAATGACTGAGATAGCCGAGTTGAAAGCTGGTTTGGCAGAAATCTGTGTAGTAAAGCAGCAGCTGAGCAGTATCCAGGAAGCCTTAGCAGCAGACACTCATAGGACACAACCAAGACAGCCATGCAGCTCTCAGCACAGAAGAAGATGCTAAGAATGTCAACGGACTGGAGATGGTAGCAACTGTGACCACTGCTACATCTGTGGCTCTGCAGAGCACTTTGCATGAGGATGTAAGCTGAGAAACAACAACAGTAGACCAGCGGGAAACGGAAGAGGGGTTGCTGCCACAGGACGGGCAGTAACCAAACCTGTTTATTAACCGAGGTCCAGAGTTTGCTGTATTTCCCTAACCAAACAGGAAAGTGTCACCTGACTAGTAGGGAAAAGATGTATGGTGAACTGTCAAATAGGAGAAGTAAGGACACAAACTCTTTGGGATACTGGATCACAAGTATCC